TTTTGAATCCCTTCAATTTGGATACTATATTTCTTTGCTAATAAACTAATGCTAGAATTTATTTTTTATTTAAGAACAACTTTCTATTTGTACAATATTGGAATTTCTAGATTGTTGAGAAAATTAAATAATTATGATATGATAATTAGCTTTTATAGGTTGTGTAATAGTCGAAATTTAGAATATTAAATAATTGATACTATGTATAAATTACACTTATTTACCTTAATATATTTGCTTTCACATTTGAAATTTACAGATTTGTAGGTCATAAATAAAACACCAAATTCATTTTAAAATTTTATTTTTTAGGATTAAATTAATATACACAAAATACATAACATAATAAAAAATATAATAAATCTACAATAAATAAAAATACATTTAATTTGCCCATCATTATTAAGAATTCTAATTCTAGAAAATAAACATTCAATCCAGGATTTCTTTTTGGTTATGACAGGTTTCAAGTTGACTAGTAATTTTGTGTTAAAATTTACAGTTTGCCTAACGTATTGGATACGTCTACTTAGCCAGTTTCACATATTTAATAAATATATAAAAAGAAATGTATTATTTCAACATAGGTACAAACAATAAAAATGTTATTACTGATAGTAGTTTACTGCTAAATATTTACTTTTTCTGAAAATAGGCAGGAAAAAACTATAAAATAATATTAAATATGGTTGAGAATGTATTAATACATAACAATTATACGAATTAAAAAGTGTTTAACAATATAAGTAGAGATACCAAGCTCCACAGTTATATGGCTTAAAATTATTCATGCTATCATCTCATGAAATATTTTAAAATACTTAGCAAACACCTACTCGTATATTACTACAAAGTAATGCCTATTTAAAAATAAAAATATATTGCTAGAAGGCTATACCGCCGTCATAAGCCAAACCCCCATAACTGACAAATTACAAATATTTGAGGTTATTTGACCATTCTGATACTGACCCATTTTTCTTTTTAAAAAGTAAACAAAATACCAGCAATTTTTATTCTGTATCCTAAAAAGTCAACTTGATTCTACAATGTAACTAACATTTTTCTAGAGAATCAACCCAAAACATTAAATCACACTTATTTATATAACTAGTTAAAAACACTATTCAAAACTTGTCTTTAATTCAACAAAAGCAGCTATATTGGTAACACATATCAAAATACTGGCACTAATAAATTTCTTTTATTGCATATATCTCCATTATATAGTTTGTGTAGTTACTGGGGCAGTATTATTTTAAAGTTTTATCTGTGAGCCAAGCCTGTCTTGTTTCAAGATTAGTGGTCCATACAACAATATTTTTAATTTTGTTGTTACAAAGTTTTCCTTTTTTAACTGTAGGGTTTTGCTTGAGAGTCTATGCAGGGGGATCGGCAGAGTCCACTTGGACCAGGGAAGGGTTTAGTAGATTCCTTGGGAGTGAAGAGACTACTAGGAGAAGCAGCTACGGAGACTCCACTGGAAAGAGGCATAATATCAATTATTGATTTGTTCACCTACAGAATAATTAACTAAATATATAGGTAATTCGTCATTGAAGAAGTTGTAACTCGAACCTCCATAGAGATTATTCAGCACATATGAGGTATCACTTATTCAATGATGATATTTAGCTGCAGTTAACTATGTAATTATTTATTGCAATGCAAGAACCTAATTAGACCTACAATTATACTTTACTAAAATATGTAAAAGTTACCTTCAATTCCAAATTTATCTTCATATTGCACTAATTTTCTTACCAACATACAAAGTATTTGTGATAATTATACATGATGGTCCAAATTTGACATGTTTATAAGATATTACTAAATTAGCAGGGGATAAAGCACACTTGATGTCGCACCTTTTTTTTAAACAACATGTTATTTTAAATCCCGTTATAAATTCCTCCCCTGAGTAAAATGCAAGAGTGATTTTTAAAATATCATTATTTTCTTTGGGTGTTTAAATAAAAAATGGTAAATGTTATTACCTCGAAAATTTGTACCCCTTAAAAAAATAATAAGTACGACAATGAATTTTACATATGAAACTATGTCAAATTATTAAATTGTTTTTCAAAATAAAATATTTATTTGAGATAATAAATTATGGCAAATTTAGAAAATCACCCTATATTTTCTAAAAAGGATTTATAACATAACTAAGCATTTCATGTTTTTTTTTCTCAAAAAAGGTGACATTGGTGGGTTATAAGGTTTCGATATCCATTTGTATCATGTAAAAGCGTCGAATTTTGTCCACCATGTACAATAAAACAGCTAAGTTTAAATAAAAAATATAAAATTATTTTAATTATTATAACATTACTTTCTTACCAAAAAATGCAGCAGTGGAGTCAAAGGAATTCAACGGGGACTCTATTTGATTATAAAAAAATGCTTTAATTTGAGCCCATCTCAGCAAGTTTGAGATTTACCATGCCCCCTTCTCGTTTTTCACCCTTAAACAAATAAGGAAAAAATTTAAATAAACAAAAATAATACTAAACGTTAGTCATTTCCAATTTTATTTTTATTTTTTAACTTTAGTAGCTTGAACAATCTTTAAAATGGGAAAAGACAGATATTGCTAAAATTGTATAAATAATAACACATACAAAAGAAGTTTTATATTGTATATATAAAAGTGATTTAATTTCTGTTTAAATTAAAATCCTATGAATTAATCTTTTAAAATATAAAATTTGTGTTAAATAACATTATTATAGGTACTTTGCTTAGAAAATTAACTTTAAATATATTACTGCATAAATTTTTAATTTGATTTCAAATAAATTTTTTCTTTTATTACTAAGAAGACACAATATTCTATACTATATAGAAGGTAAGTATATTAATGTTACTGTCCCAGGAGGGTGGGTGTACAAATATTATGAATATGCAAATGTTATGTATAATAAAAGTGTCCTTTGAATGAGATAAACAAATACGAACCTTGTCCTGTCTCTCCTTCTATTTGACCTCTTGTAAAGTTTAGTTTTCTTTTTGTTGTATCTCACTTTTAGATTTCCTTGTATCAGTTTTATATTTAATAAAAGCTAGTTATTCCTAATTAGTATTTTGGCCAATACAACTTCTTAGCCATGCAATAAAGAGATCTTCTATAATTACCTAAAATTTTAACCCCAAAAATGTAGTTGGAAATACAAATTAAGTATGTAATAAAGTGAATGTTTTTGAAGGAATGTTATGTACTTATTATTAATTTACTTACCAAGTGGTTTTTCTTCTATCTGTAGCAGTAAATTGCTTGCGATTTTTTTTTGTCAACCATTATAATACTTCAACTAAACGAACTCAAATTGAACTTTTATAATATATATTCAAAGTACCTCTCGACACTCACATAAATTGGCTGGAAAATTGAAAAATTCTAAAATATTAATCAGTAAAGATTCAATCTGTCAAAGTAAATGACGAGCAGAGCTGACAGAGGAAGCGACGTTGCCAGTTCACGTCGTCGTTAAAAATTAACAGAAGAATGCAACCCGTACTACACCTTTAGTAAAAGATTTGGGTTTAACGAGTCATTAGATATTTAACGATCGTTGTTGCAATCCGCTGTTAGTGTAGTAGTATTCTTTTTAATAAATCATTTATCGTAATTAACATTGTTTAAATTTATTTACCAGAATATGAAAGTGCATATTTACAACCCTAATTATCAGGTTTTCAAATTTCCCGCTGCGTTATTTGTTTGATATGGATGAAAGCGCCACATAGTGGGTCAGATGTTAACTGCGTTCGAGCTGGTCGTTGTTAAGCATGTGCTTCCTATGAGCGTTTCCTATCTTTATGTCCCTTATCTCCGAATTTGTATGTTTTGATATTTCAAAAGTTTTTATAAGTATTCAACAAAATGGTGAAACAATTTAGTGATCAATCAAAAACTTTAATACTAAACGTAGTTTCCTATTTTAAGAGACAAATCTACTGGAGTCAAAATCTACCATGAAAAGAATTCCACCTAGATAGATATGTCGAAGAATATGTTCATAAAATATTAAGAACCTCTCCATATCACTGCCAGTGCAATGCGATAGAGATGGTGTGGTCACAGTGCTAACGGTTTTATGACGAAAAAATTTTAACAACAAAGTCGTCACCGGAAGATGTATTTTAGACTTGGTCAGAAGCTTTGAATAATGTTACCGATACTCAGTGGGACAATTATGCAAGACACACTAAAAACCTAATTGTTTCCGATTGGACAAAATACAAGCAATTAGATGATCTAGAACCAATTATTATTAATTTAGGTACAACGGCAAGTAGTTATGAGTCTGAATCAGAGTCCAGTTGTGAAGAAAATTATATTGATTAAAAAAATTTATATGAATTATCCAATAAGTATTTTCTGTGTCTCTTGTTATAATTTATTTTTTTTAACAAAGAATCTGTTTCACGAATTTGCACCTGTTTTGAATTATCTTTGAAAACTTTAAAAAACGCTAAAAACCAATGTTCAGCTAAGGAAGTTATCTATATAGTACGAAAGTAAATTGTTCTAGTATTTGTAGATCAAATATAAAATGTGATCTTGTATTCGTGCAAACGCTCCTTAATAAAGTTTACGTTGCTAAGCAACAACAAAGCGCAATTGAATATAAGAAGACACATGCAAACTGTTACTAAAAATGCGAAATTTTTGTCAGAGGACTTGGGGTATTTCTATCACTTTATAATTCCAGACCAATTTTTATTAGTTCGAGACATAATCGACTTTTGGCCTGAATTTTGTTTGTTTCACTATACAATATTTTTATCTTCTCTTATTGCCGTATAACAAAAGTACTTCTATTTGACTACAAAGCCTCGTTCTTCAAAAAAAAACTTTACATGATCAAAATTACTGCTGATATATTCTGCATTTTTGTGATATCGATAATTCCGCGTGAAACTTATTTTACACTTTAACAATGCTTCTTAGAAAAATTCCGTTCAAATCTTAAATGTAATTATTCTTATTTTAGGAATGTTTCAACTGTAAGGAAAAAGGCCATAAAAAAACCAATTGCCCTTTGTTAACAATTATTGATAAGCAAGAGATAAAAAAGCCATTAACTAAAGTTGACAAACAGGAGAAAAGAAAACCACTGACTTATGGGATCAATTTAAAAAAGAAATTGAAGACATAACTGAAATTTTATTTTATAATTATTAATAATAAAAATAGAACACAATTATGCTTTCTATTCTTCGTCCATGGTATCGCAAAAAGTTGACACTATTAAGTTTAGGCCATAATCTTCTATCTGAAAATAGGAGAATATTACCTGCATCTGGGGATCTGTATCTTTATCTGTGGGTCATTAATATAAGATATTAATAACCTACACTTTTTATGTAACGTTATTGTCCACTACCCAATATTGTTAACTGGAAAGTATCTACCGAACTCTCAGACTTGACGTGAGGACGGACCAAATTACTCTCCAATTCCATGACCCTAAAAGTACAAAGTAGTGGATACGAAAAGCCCCTCCATGAGTGCCTGGGAAGCGTAATTACAACTATTAAGAATAGCACCGAAATTGAATTGGCGAATGATCAAATTTTAAATTTCCTTATGACTGCCTATCAGGACAACTGTCCACTAAAGGAGAGAAGGGACCTAAGAGAAACTCCACAATGGAGCAGAAATTAGGAATAAAAAAGAAAAGAGTCAACATCTCCATCAAGCTAAACAATTAGGATTTTGGGACTAGGCCGTAAGTCCTTAACAGAGGCCATCTGAAGATTAGAAACACAGCGAAATCGTGGAGGGAGTTCTGTCATTAAAAATGTAAATAAAAAAACATTGCATTCATCATTAATTGAACCTTGTCGCAAAATGCAATTTCCACTGCTTGTTCACTGCTCTTACAAACTGAGCTAACAGGTTATGTCAAGAAAGTTCTCTTTTTTTCTTGACTTTGAGTCGTCTGACGTCCCGTTAGCAGGGGTTTTAAACTAAATCCTTGCAGATGACACTTCCTGATGGTACCGTCTACCACTTCAGAAACTTCCAGCTGGAGGTACGATCGTACCACCTCGCGACCGCTAGCTCACAATCTATTAGTTTTAATCTTTAAAACATTAAAAAATTTTCAAAATCCTCCATAATTTATTTATTCTCTATTTCGCACATACAAAATTTGCTGGAAACAGAGACACTTGACCGTTTATATTATGGACATTACTTGCTAATAATAGGTAATTTCAATCAATCAAATTGTATGAACATGAATTTTAAAGCGATTCAGCTAAATCTAAATGCAATAATAGTTTTTTTCTGGTTGGGTGGGAATCCATTACATACACCAGACATATGGTTCTGCCCTGACCTGGTAGTGTGGGACTCCCGGCTTAGGGTGCAAGGCCGGTATACCCACTAAAACCACCTCCTTGCTCTGGTAGCTCTTCCTGAGACCACTTTGTGCATTCCATCAAGAGAAGGGACCAGTGACTGATGTTCCTTCTAACATATTACTCTTACTATATTTTCTTGCAATATTTTTTTACCATATTTTCCTTTTCTGTTTTTTACCATCCTTTTTTTTCCTTATTTGTCTCGTTCCCTCTGTATAACGTCTTTTTCTTTCCTTTTGAGTATTTCAGTGGTAAACTTTTGTACTGCTTTCCATATCAAGTGTATTCTGTATCATTTCGGGTATGATGTTCTCGGGACCAACTTGTCCAGTTACATTTTCCATCCTTAGTCTCTCATTTACTACATATAAAAATTGTAAGTTCTACTGTGTCCTCCTCCTCATCACAGTATATACAAGTCTGACCATCAGTTATATGGAATCTATTTCTGTATGCTTTGAAGCACCCATGACCGGTCAACATTTGTTCCAGGAAATCGCTAAGCTCCCCATGTTTTCTATTTATGCTGACATCCGGTATGAGCCGCTTACTCCAGGATCCTGTTGTATCTGCCTCTTCTTGCCAACATTCCTGCCATCTTTGTAGAAATAGATTATTTGCTTGCTGAGGTTAGAACCGCCTTTGTGAAGGCGGTCCTATATAAGCCTATTATTCTTAGGGCAGCTTTTATTTGTACACTCATTATCTTGTTTCGGTATATCTTTTTATCTAATGCTCTTTTCCAGACCGGAGCACCGTACATGAATATTGATTGAACTACCGAGCACAGTTTGTATCTATTGCCGTCTCGAGGCCCTCCTGTATTTGGCAATATTCTGCTAAGGTTTTCTAGTGCCTTTTCTGCCTTTTTTACTGTTGCTTTTATGTGCTCGGCCATTCTCATATTTCGGTCTAGGTGTATACCCAGATATTTGAGGCTCTCTTGGCTGTTAATTAGCATTCCTTCTACCTCTACTGCAACTCCTTTTACTTTCCTTCCAGCTACAAGAAGCACTGCTTCTGTTTTTTGTGGGGTCAGTTTTAGCTTCTTCGATGATATCCATTCAGTTACTCTGCGTAGCGATCGAAAGGCTGTGCACGTCAATACATCTGGATCCTTAGTCGTGACTACTATTCCTAGATCATCCGCATACCCAATAAGCTTGACATAAGGAACAGGTATTCTCAATACTCCGTCGTAGTATATGTTCCATAGTGTGGGACCAATAACCGATCCTTGCGGTACTCCACACGTAACTGCCTTTATCTCCCACAAGTAGAGACCTATCTTGTAGGTAGCTGGCTATCATATTATATAGATATGGCTCCATCCCTTTGTTGTGCAGTTCTTCGAGTATTCCTTCCCATGGTGCCGAGTTAAAGGCATTTTGCACATCTATGGTTATCAGTTGGCATAATTTCCTGTGATGCTTTTGGCTTGCTTCATCAACGATACTCTGAACTCTTTATTGCATCGATTGTGGACCTTTTCTACCTGAAACCATATTGTTCTGGAGCTAAATCACCCCATCTCACTATTTCAGATTTTAGTCTGATAAGAATTAGTTGTTCCAGCAGCTTCGCCAATACATTTAGTACACATATGGGCCTGAAAGATTTGGGGTCCTGTCTTGGTTTTCCCTTGTCTATTAACACCAATCTTGCCGTCTTCCATTCTATTGGAAATTCTCCTATGCTTATCATCCCATTTACTGCTTCCAGGCATTTTTGAGGGTGGCTGCGGATTATTGTCTTCACTACTTCTGCCGGGATTCCATCTGGCTCTGGTGCTTTCTTTTCTTTCAGTCGTTCATTTGCATTTAGTAGTTCTTCTGTAAATCTTGGTATTTCCTCTACCTCTACCGGCATCCTATCCCACTCCCTTACTTGATGATCCGGAAACAGTGCAAATGCATTAATAGTACATAATTTCATGTGTTACTAACCTACAGCAAAACAACACAACTCTTAATAAGTGCAATGTTGACTGTCATGTTTCAAGTGGACCTTTGTTTTGTACCAGAAGAGGACCATCATCTTGCCTGGCAGCTACAGTAAATTTTGACGATTTAAATAAATATAATGCCATTCCATTTAACAATTTAGTTACATTATACAATTTTCGTATATTAAACCATTGTTATATTCACTAATTTCTGACACACTGGTCTTGGCTAGATCAGTTTACTGATCCCAATCAAATAGTTAACTCTTTTTATTTAAAGATTCACATAGTTCTTAATCAATATATACCTAGACGACCTAATTTTATCTCTAAATACCCACCTTGGTTTACCAAACAAATTATTCAAAACTTACAGAAAAAAAATTTTTAAGAAGCTCAAAAAAAATAACTCGCCAATACTTCGCGATGAATTTAAAACGATGAGAAAATCTGTCAAAACTTAAATTTCTTCTGCCTACGAAATTAATAAAATAAAATATCTATGAACATTTTGGGCTTACATTCACAGCAAAAAAGGTACATCTCTCATACCTACCCGGTGTAATGTACTTTAGTGAAAAATAATTGAATACGGCAGAGTCCATGGTGGATGCATGTGCGGAATTGTGTATTTGTGATTTCTGACAGTCTGAAGTTTAAAAAAGAAGAGAATTCTTTAACAAATCCAATTATTTCCCTAAAATCTTTCACTGAAGAGGTATGTATTGCATTAACAAAATTTAACTCAAATTTACTTGTGGTGCGGATTTAATTCCCAGTTATATCTTTGAAAAATCTCTTCAAACTAGCTTTAATTTAGGTCTGGAATCCGAACAATTTCCAGATAAGTGGAAATTGTTTAAACTTTGATCCATATTTAAAGTAGGAGCTATTAACGATATTTCAAACTATAATAGACCAGTTACGTTATTATTGAATTTTGCAAGCTTTTGATATGTCTTTATAAACGTTTCTCTCCTAAACAACTTAATTAAATCAAAGCAGAATAGTTTCATTAGCAAAAGATCTACGGTCATCCATCTTAGGTATTTTCCAAAAGGTATCAGTGAAACCATAAATATTAATCAGCAAATGAATATCATCTTTATAGACTATTCAAAGGCTTTTTATAAGATTAGCCATTACATACTCCTGAATAAGCTAGCATACAATATACTTATTATTTTGTATTAGACATAGCCCTGCTTTCAGAGCCAACATATGGCAACTACGATATCCCCTTTTGTGCCGAGAGGCGTGGCGTTTCAACAGGTGAAGTAAACACGATACCGAATAATAACGAAAGAAATAACGTTGAGTTTGCAAAAATAATAAAGTTTTAAAATGTCTATTATTCATACAACATAAGAAAAAGTTCAGATAAAAAAATGGTATCGGTAATTTCTGCAGCAGAGATTTTGAATAATTTGAAGGTAGGTCTGTGCCTACCAGGCAGACATTTTATAATATTGTCAACAGTTTGACTGTTTGAAAGAGTGTTCAAAATGTAAGCCAAAACATATGTGTCCCCAGAAAAACGAGCAATAGGAGAAAGGCGTGTTGTAGACCATCTGTAGTGTTATCGAGGTGGATAATACACGTAGCATCACATCCATTACCAAGGAATTGGAGGTTGCCCAGACAGCACACCAAATCCTTTGGATATCTACTGAACATCCCAATATCCACTGAATGTCCAGTCCATGGTGGATATCTATTTTATATCCATGAAATGTAATTTATAGACATGCAAATGTCTATAAATAATTGTAATTATATAGCAAATTATTAAAAAATTACGCCATTGTACTCGCCATTGTGGCTAATAGTACCGTTGAGATATTTAAAATTAATTTTTTTTAAGGTGTATTCAATATCCCATGGACAT